CCTTGCGCACGGGGGAGCCCTCGGGGGTGATGTAGCGCAGCGCCTCCTCGTCCTGCCGCTGGATCCGGGAGTTGGGGACCCAGGCGAGGATGAGGGTGGCCCCCAGCAGCTCATCCTTCTCCATGTACAAGCACAGGTAGCCTGGGGGGAGGGGGACGGCGGTGAGGGAGGGCCGTGAGGACTGGGGAGCCTGGGGACAGTCGGGCCTGGGATGAGTGACAGCTGCGGGGTTGCTAAGTGCCCAGGCGAGGACCGGGCCGCACCGCCCCAGCAGCTGCCTGTCGTGCGCTTTCCTCCCCCCGAGCCCTCCTCACGTCCAGAGCCCCACCCTGTCCACCTGGGGTCCACCTCAGGCCTGGAGCCCAGAGCTTTCCTGCCTGGGGCCGGTCAGCGCCCCGTCCAGCAGCCAGGAGGCCCCTCCCAGCGTCGCAGCCTGTGGGGAGGGACGCAGGACAAAGACTTTCCCACGGGGATGACCTCCAGATGGTGGCTGCCCTACGGGCCTCGTTCAGGTGGCCACCGCCCTCTCGGCATATTTTTCTTTTTTTAAAAAAATATATTCTTATTGATTTCAGAGAGGCAGGGAGAGGGAGAGAGAAACATCGATGATGAGAGAGTCATGGATCGGCTGCCTCCTGCACGCCCCGACTGGGGATGGAGCCTGCACCCCGGGCCTGGGCCCTGACCGGGAATCGAGCCGTGACCTCCTGGTTCACAGGCAGACGCTCAGCCCCTGAGCCACGCCGGGCGGGCATGTTTCTCTTTAATGCAGCTTCTGGGAGAGGGGCCCCCTCCCATGGCCCGCTGATGGCAAAGGGCAGTATCTCGGAGGCTGGCAGCGGGTGGGCGGGCTCTCTGGGCTCCTGCACCCTTAGTTTGGGGGGACGGTGGCATTTCCCACGGCAGCACCTGCCATTTCGAGGTGTCCTGATTCCCGGGCCCGTTGCACAGGCCCCCGGCCCCCCCGGCCCCCCGGGCTCTGTTCTGAGAGGTCATCTAGGGCGGGAGCTGGGCCTGTACACGCCTCAGGGCTCTGCCCCACACACGGCTCCCGTTCGAGAGCCCGGGGCTACGGGCCAGCTGTGCACGGGGACCAAGTGTTCCCACATCAGTCACGTGGCTCTGGGACTGGGAGGAGCGCCCAGACCCCTGCCCCTCCCGCCCGCCTTCCATCGCAGCAGGACTCAGCCACAGCCTCCAGGCCACTACACCCAGAACACACGGCCCCCTCAGACCTGGGCCCAGACCTCCCCCCCCCAGCACACCTGTCCCTTCACTGGGCAGGTGACCACAGGGTGAAGGTGAGGACAAGTGGGGAAGTGACACCTGAAC